CGGGGGGGGGGGGGGGGGGGGAGACGGAGGAGAGCACTGGGCTTGACGGGAGGACACATGTGCAACATGCACGGCGGTGAGGAAACCTGCCCCCGAGCCTGGAAGTACATGAGGGGGGGGGGATTTTGGTTTGTGAGTTTGTCAGTTTCAATCAGACTTTGTTTAATTTACAGGACGATGCTACAAATTATAACGTTACAATCCAGCTAACACGGACGGACGGGGGGGGGTGGGGACACTAGGTTAGAAACCACATCATCACCATAGGCTGATGACAACGTGTGATTTGATTGGCTGCTGCCTCATAAATAACTCACTGGTCACATGAACAGGTAGACAACCGTCCACTTCACCACCGTACGTCCTGTCTCTCACGTCAAATACAAACGTGCAAACACCTCAGTTTGGAATTCCTCCTCAGGAAAACCTCCTTCAGGCCAGGACTGGAAAAGCCAGCATTAGCACTTCCCAGCCCACGAAGGACCGATAATTGAAGGGTTGGACTTCTAACAGAACACGTTCACTGGAAAATACCACCTTAAAAAAAACACACGAGGCTCCACAAACACAGCATCAGTTAGCAGGGCCTGGAACCGAGCCATCACTCTGTCAGAGCTGGTACTGTTTCTTAAGTGACTTCAGATAAACCTGCATCAGTACTGGGACTATGAAGTAGTACCTCCTGGTCCAGTACCATGTGTCATCTTTACTGCAGCCGTTTTCAAAGAAAACAAAAACATAAAGCTGCGGCAGAACCACTGCTTCACTGACAGCGCCTCCCTGTGGCAGAAAGTGGAGATGATGAAAACACGGCGCTGTGAGTATTCATCATCTTCAACGTCCTCCGATGCCGTGCTGTCAAACTTTTTGTTAGTACGCAAAAAATACACAATTCATCAGCCTCCAGCCGTGACCAAAGATAAATAAAAGGAAATCGTTTTCTGTCGACAGCAAACCTCGTCAAACATCCGTCTGTCCTCATCTGTCCTCAGACTGACACTCATCCATCTTTAGCCTCGACTTATACTAAAGGTGGAAAAAGAGAAAAGAAGAAGATCCGTCTGTGTATTTTAGTGTTGTGTTCAACTAAACGGGCCCAGGTTTCACGCTGAGTTGAAGTGAAACTAGAAGATCTTTATATTCCATTCCATTCTTTTTGGACCTCGTTTGTTTGTTGAGAAGATGTGGCTCAAAGGATGGGAACCACTGGTCTAATGGAACGGTGTTGAACACAGAGCAAGAATGTTTACACTGTATCATTATCCTTTTCTACAGTAGTCACTGAACATCGTTAAAGTTTTTTTTTCTTGTATCCAAATCCAAAGAAATATTTTGGTGCAGCTGCAGTCAAACCTCCTGATCTGCATGAAGTGTTAGCTAGGACTGAGGGGTCAGAGAGGAAGACGCTGCTCCAGAGGAGAACAGCTGTGGATGTCGTTCAGTCAGTGGTCAATTAGAGACTTCCTATTGGTCAGTAATTGTTTGTGTGATACAGCTCTGTGTGTTCTGCTTCTGTCACGAGAACAAAAACAGACGGACCGAAGAGAAGGACAGGAAGGGGAGGAGGACTGAGCTGGACGTCCACAGATAAAGTATTAAAGGTTCACACTGTGGGGGAGTGGATTTCACTGCAGCTGCTGCAGTGGTGCAGCTGTACACTGGAGACACTGGAGACACTGGAGACACTGGAGACACTGGAGACACTGGACCACAGCACCACTCCAGACCTCCCAGTCTGGGCCATTAATGACCATCGATCTGTTCAACATTATTCTGTGTTCAGAGTGAGCAGTAAACCTGCAGTTTCATTTCCTTCAACCTGTCTGTGTCGCTGCCCTAATGACTCCCCCCCCATCACCCCGACTGTTCTGATCACAGGATGTCGGTCCTCTTGTCTGGGCTGCTGTGCAGTGGGCCACCAACAGATGGAGCCCAGATGAGTTTTATGGGCTCCAAAACATGCTTGATACAACGCAGTTAGACAACGAGGCAACACTTCAGATCTACATCCACAGATCTATATTTCTCCAGGTGGAGTACTGCAGGTAGAACAGAGTACACGGATGACTGCGTGTACTACATGTAGACTGCGTAGACTGGCCCTCCCTCACTGACAGACTGTAAACACAGACACAGCTGCAGCAGCGGTCGTCATGTAAACAGTAGCTGCAGACGAGTGACAGTGGATTAGCTTAGCACTGCTAACACGTCAGCTGTGTGGAGTTATTACACGCACACACACAGAAGGTTCCAGAGTGTGTGAGGAGGAGGAGGAGGAGGCGGCTGCTCTGGAGAACATTAACAAAAAAACAAAAACAGTACCAGATATAGTACCAGAAGAAGATCAGTACCATGGTACCGTCACAGACGCTCCTGGACCAGACTCCACGTAGACCCACTGCATCAGTTATGTGCTTCAGTTCTGCAGTTCTCCAGCAGCTGCTCACTTGGTTCTGGTCCAGCCGGACCAGAACCAAGTGACAAGTTGAAATAAAAACCAGCGTTTGACTCCAGGACCATGATTTCCAGTCCCTGTGGGGGAGTCAGTGAGGGGGGAGTAAATCAGAGTCGTCTGCTTCTTCTTCACAGCTGCTGCTACTGTGGAGTTTCTGCCAAGACGTTGGAGCTGCAGGTGCTGCACCAGCGGCCGACGACTCACGTCCACAGATCACGCCACCAACACGGAAGTAGTTCCACAAAAGTTCTAGTTCAGGGCTGTGCCACTGAACCCATCTAAGAAAAGACCATAACTCAGGTGTAGAAAATGCAATACCGCTGCTGAGCCAAAGAGGGCAGTGATGTTATGATAATAAATCATGAAGCATAAATGTCCCCGGAGCCGCAGGTTTGATTCCCCTCCATCTGAGGTTAAAGCTGGAACTTCTCATTTAGAGGGGGTGGGGGGGTGAGTATGACACACAGAACCAACCGTGACATCCTGGTGGTTGCCCCGGACATTACAGTGTGTGTGTGCTGAGCAGTGGTGAGGACTCTGGACTCCTGCCAACGCTGCTGCACCTCTTTAGTGCCACTTAGTGGCAGA